GAGGCAGTACATATTAAAGGCTGAAATTCAAATGTCATATATAATACACTTTCCTAAGCACAACAGTACTTGTGTAATCGAAACACACTGGATTTTTTTCCTGCCATAATCTAGATATATCTTGTCAGGATTATCAGTTCACCTACGACCTGATACATCCCAAGCTAGAGGTGCAACCGAGGAGCTCACATTCATAGTAATAGCAAATCTACTGGATTTGTAACAACAAAATTGTGCTCTATGTTGGTCTCTGCATTCTTGGTACCTTCCAAGACTGACACCCTCAGACATTTTGACGCCTTATCTTGCAATCAATCTGCAGACACCACATTGCAAGCTTTATCATCTGAATTACCTCATGTGTTTGCATGTCGTTACTGTCCTTTTCAATCAAATCCACCAACCGATTAGTCTTAACCTTTTCTTCCAACATGGTAATAAGATGCAGGTTCTCTTTAGACCAGGACGAGTTGACATTCTTTCTTCCGCTGATGATTTCCATGACCACAATACCAAAGCTATACACATCAACCTTTTCTGTAATGTGCGATGTCAACCATTCTGGAGCTAACTAGCCAGGTGTGCCTCTCATTCTAGTAACCACTTGGCTCATGTCTCTATCAATTAGATGCATAGTCCAAAATCAGAAAGCATAGCATTGAAGTTTTCATCTAGAGGATATTTTGTGGCTTGACATCCAAATGAGCAATTTTCTTCATGCACTCCTCATGAAGGTAAGAGAGGCCCTTAGTTATGCCCATGATAATCTGGCCCTGGCACGCAGGTGCAGGAGGATCTGGGGTAGAAGATGTCAGGTCGGTCAAGGCACAGAAGATGATCTGGTAGTTGGTGCCTGTTGGGCAAGTGAATCTGGTGCTTGAGCTATCATCCCTAGAGTAGCCTTAGGCGTTTGGGCACATCTGCATGAAGAAAAACGAGTAGGTGGTGGGTTCACAACTGCTCAACTTCCCAGTGCAGCAGTACTTGATCGGGGGGCGGGGGGTAAGCTAGCCCGGGCACTGCGAAGTGATGTTGGTTGTGCAGCGTGCTCCCTCCACCCTGCCCCTCCCTAGGCTGGCACTGGCAGGAAGTCCATGGATACGTCGAAGAAACCTTGGACAAGGGAGATGTCGAAAAAAATTGTACTGTTGAACTGGCCACTCGTGAACTCTTCGAGCGTCCTGGGCGGCTGACATGGCCCCTTGCAGGCGAGCAAGCCGCCGTAGTCGCCCGTCTGGCATGACCTGTTGCCCTTGCCATCGAACGAGCAGCCCGTTCGTGCCCAAATTCTTTGCCCACCAGTCGTGGCACCAAGGGGCACCTCCAGCATCCATGACTTTCCCGGATCAAGCCGCATGCCACCGTCTGGCACGCGGCCAGCCACACCGTATATGAGCATCAGTTGGTGATGGGTAACACTAGTTTGATTTCCAAATTTTTTGCTGAGTGTCACTTTATCTTGCACAACCTCTTATAGGAGTCCTGGCTTTGCTCCTTTCTTGTATATGGCTCAATGTTACCAAGCCAAGAAAAAAAAGGGAATCATCGTACGATGGTGCCCACGTTTGTTTTGGTTGCTTGGCCAGTTGTGTGCCACAGATCAATCATCGTACGATATATATATAGTCTCCAATCGGGCCTAAGAAATCCAACCTTTGCTTTTACCCCCAGCATACGTCTTCGATCCCCGTTCCTCGTACGTCCCGCCGCCATGAGCGAGAGCGAGGGCAGCTCGACGGCCTCCGTGATGGACGACGAGGACCTCCTGTGGGAGATCCTCCTCCGCCTCCCGCCACAACCATCTTCCCTCCCGCGCGCCTCCGCGGTCTGCAAGCGATGGCGGCGCATGGCCACAGACCCCAGCTTCCTCCGCAGCTTCTACGCACACCACCGGAAACCGCCCCTCCTAGGCTTCTTCAAGTACCAACGTGACAATATTGTGTTCACCTCCATCCTCGATGCTCCCGATCGCATCCCTCGTGAGCGTTTTAACATTGGAGGCAGCATTACCTCCTCAGAGAGCTATGTGCTTGGGTGTCGACACGGTCGCGTCCTCGTGATTGACCATGTGCGCACAGAGCTCGTCGTGTGCACCCCTATCACTGGCGAGCAGCGCCGCTTGGCCGTTCCGCCGGTGTTCAAAACAGTCCTCCGTGCTTGCATCAACGGAGCGGTTCTCTGCGCTGCCAACGACCAGGGCCATGTGCACGGCGGCTGTCACTCCAGCCCCTTTAAGGTGGTCTTGGTGATCATGTATAGAGACGAACGTCAAGCCCTCGCATGTGTCTACTCCTCGGAGACCAATGCATGGGGCAACCTCATCTCAACAGCTGCCCCATGTCGTCTTATTAATGCTCATAGACCTGCGTCACTTATCGGTAATGCATTCTACTGGTTGACTACAAGGAATGACATGCTTGTGTTTGATTTGGTGGAGCAAAGTCTAGCTGTGCTCAGTGGGCCACCGGTTAAAAATTGTTTCCTCCATAGTCAGATCATCCAAGTTGAGGATGGCGTTGTTGGCTTTGTCGTATTATCTTATCCACACTTTCAAATATGGCAGAGGAAAATCAATGATCATGGTGTTGCCACATGGATGGAGTGGAAGACCATTGAAATGCATAATATTCTTGCGCTCCCTCCTCAGATTGTCAGAGGCGCGGAAACCATACTAGGATATTCAGAGGATGCTGATGTGTTTTTTATATATGTGGACGTCAAGTTCTATATGGTTCAATTTAGGTCAATGCAATCCAAGATAATTCATGAAGCATATTATATCACTGACTACCATCCTTTCATAGGGTTTTATTCACCAGGTAACTTTTCATACTCAATATTTCTATTGTAGCAGTAACCCAATTCAATTATTTTTTTCTACATGGCTCAAACACATATATTGTGCTTCTTAAGTCACTAACAATTAAGCTTAATCAACAATTGTCCCTCTGCTAGGTAGACAGACTTAAATTATCATTAGTTGTTTTTTACACTACTTTAGTGTCAAAAAACGCTCTTATATTATGGGACGGAGGGAGTAGCTGAGTAAACTGCTTTCAGAACATTCCTTGCATATAGAAGAGAATAGATGCAGTGCTTTCATTATGAAGTATCTAAGCAAATTGCTTTCAGAGCATTCCATGCATCTAAAATAGATGCAATTCTTTCATTATGAAGTATCTAAGTATATTGCTTTCAGGAATCTTTTTTGCATTTATAGATGTTTTTTTATATTGCAAGTATAAAAATTGAGCCATAATTCATCTATAAAAAGTGATTTATTTTTCTCAAGTCACGTTTGTCGGCTCAACTATGTAGACTTACTTGTGCCTTCCATCATCCATTTGCTTCTTCCTAGGCACTGTCATCAGTTGAAGTTTTATGCTTCTAGGCATAAACATTGCTGGTGGATGTGATGGAGCTGAAGTATTGCACATTGCATTGGTATGACTATCTGCTCTGATTTGCTAATGTGTTGAAATGCTACAACAGGCAATAATATATTTTGAATACGATTTGTGAGGTTATGAACCATTTGAATTGTAAATATCCAGATGCCTACATAGGTAGCATTCACCCACAAACTACTGTCAATTTGGTTATATGTGTTCACGCTTGTGAGTGACACCAACACACACATCATTTGAACTGATGGGGTTCATGCTTGTGAGTGACACTAACACATACTCCCTCCGTCCAGAAATACTTGTCATCAAGATGAATAAAAGGAGATGTATCTAGACGTATTTTAGTTCTAGATACATCCCTTTTTATCCATTTTGATGACAAGTATTTCCCGACGGAGGGAGTACATCAATTAAACTGATGGTGATGCCAAGAAAAAATTACTTCATTTTGGATTGCAAATGATATCTAAATGTTGAACAGGAATGGCCTCGAAGTGTTAAATTTGCATTAATATTCAATGTTTGGGATCTGGTTGATTTTAAATACCAATCATGTGATAGTAGTACTCCCTCTCTCTCAGTTTACAGGGCGTGCGCGTACCCCTAGATTGTCAATTTGACCAACATAATACAAGTCATATATTACAAAAAATATACCAATATAAACTTCAGATATTCTATTTTCAAAAGGTATAATTTTTGTGTTATATAGTTTATATTAGGATGATAAAATTGGCAACCTAGGTATACGCGTAGGACTTGTAAACTGTGACGGAGGGAGTAGTAATAATAACAATAACAATAATACTAATAATGAATAATAAAATATCTAACTAGATTCTATAATGTATGTAATCTCACTATATATAAGTAGTTGGAAAAAGAAAATGACATTCACTTAAAAATTACTGCCAGTGCATTTGCATGATCCACTTTGCTAGTTATTCAAATGTACTCCCTCTGTAAATTAATATAAGAGCGTTCAAATCACTACTTTAGTGATCTAAACGCTCTTATATTAGTTTACGGAGGGAGTATAATATAATGACTATTATGTGGGTTGCTATCAGGTTTCAAGAAATTGGCAAGTTTCCAGATAAATAAACTTTCATCGTTTCGGCCGAGAGTTTGAAGATGAGTTGCGGTAACTTTCAAAACTGTATGGTGGGTGTGAAGACGACAAAATTCAAGACAAGTTTCAACGTTTTTATATCCAGTCTTAATTTGTACTCCCTCCGTCTCAAAATAAGTGTCTCAAACTTAGTACAACTTTACACTAAAGTTAGTACAAAGTTGAGACACTTATTTTGGGCCGAACGAAGTACAAATTTCAAAAACAAGGCAAATGAACAGAACTTGTTGGCACATGAACAAAACTGTACATTGACTTCACCTTAACCATCAGCACACTACCAACAGCCGATGTAGTTCATGAGGAAGAATTTACAAAGACTCTACACGGCAATGGCAGCATTTAATTTGCATCTGTATTTCATACAAACAGCCAGCCACATTGCTGACCTGCACTCAATATATTTGCAAAATAACAGGCAACCTTTGGCATGGCCTGACTAGCGAGCTATAGGAGACTAACATACACCGTCTCTTCTCATGTGTGTAGTACAAGCAGAGGAACATAGCAGTATTTACAAGGTGTAAGAAAGGGTGCAGAGGGCTGTGTTTTCTAAACTCTTCGCATTTCTGTCATAGAAGCTCTTCCTCAATCAACTCTAGACTTCTTCGCCATGTGTAGAATCATGTCAGTGCAGCGCTGGCTGCAACACAAGGTACATGAGAAGTTATAGAACAAGGCGATTCAGAAACGTCACAGTTGATGGGTTTTATACGTTTTCCTCTGAACAATCTGTGTGCGTGATGATAAAAGATAATTACCCGTAGCTGCGCTGGTGGTTGAACCATGCGAAGAGCTTGAAGGAACCGTCCCCCAGCATAGCTCCAGCATCGGCATCAAAGAAGCACGACCTGCGTTTGTCAAGGCCATTCAAGCAGCTGATGAACGAATGCCCCCAAACCACGCCAGCACATGATGATATATACATGGTGACTACTGACACAGTTACCTGCAATCTCCTAAATAATCTGTGGCCTTGAGCCCCACTCCTCCCTCCAGGTTAGCTAGTACATAGTGAAGTTCCTTTGAAGAAGACTCTTTCCTGCGAAGTACAGCAACACACATTTCAGTAAATAATACACTTTGAAGCAAAGATGCTTGCAGTTTTGCTTGCAATCTTTCATACATACAAGACGAAGAGTACATGGAATTACCAAAGTTTCAAAAAACATGCCGATCCTTTGTCGAAAACACCAGTTCCAGAAGACATTTATAATATACCTCTCAGTAAAAAATGTACTTGGGAACAGAGATACTAGCAACTTTACAGAATTGCACATTACCAGGGGTACACAAATTACCAAATTCCGATAAAAATGTCCATCCTTTGTTGAAAATAGCAGTTCCAGGTGAGAATTCACAAGTATGACTTGATAACAGACCAGGAAAAGTCACTAGACAGCCAACTGAGCATTGAACTTACCTGACAGAATCCTTGATCATCTCGTAGTCAGCACACTCGTCAAGCCTAACCGCCATTTCCACACAAGACAGTTTCACCGGAGGATCATGGTTCACCATCACATGGAACCTGTCGACTAAATCAGGAATAGCGGAACTGAGTGCCTGCAGTTTACCAAATGTAACAATCAGGACGTCTGCTGAACAGATACTGTAATATCAATTTTTTTAAGATGATAATAACACATAAATACTATGTTGATTCTTACCCTGACAATTTCTGCAGCACTAGAGGATGGTCCGGTTATAGTCACATGGCACTCTCTGATGACAAATTTAGTGTGGAGGATCTAAAAAAAATTCAAAGTAATCAGCAACTATACAAACCAAATTGAGGCAAAGAGCTAGCAGCTAAACGGAGGATGAAACTAGTAAACCTTGGCGAGCAGAGCAAGACAAATTGTAGTGGTATCAGCAATTGAGATGATGCCAATATATGGCGTGTAAATATTTTCGTTGACACCGTAAACAAATGTAGGAGCTTCAATGCTCAGAGCACAGATGATAACCTTCTTGGCGCCACCCTAGCACACAAGACAAATGCATGTTTCTTTACTTCGAGATACAGATAGGAAATGTACATCCGCGAACTTTGAGATTATTAAACCCAATAAAAACCTGAGAAAAGAAACAGCCCCTACTATACTGGTTTACAGTTTTGATCATGCTGAACAGCTAAATAAGTAAATATATAGCTTTCGAGTTAACAAAAAAACCAGTGGTATATACCATCAAGTGAGAGCTGGCAGTATCCGTGTCAGTGAATATTCCAGTGTTCTCCACGACGTAGTCTGCGCCGAGATGGCCCCAGGGTATTTTTTCAGGCCACTAAGATTGGAAACGACGTGTTAGGGCTTAGTACTTGAAATGGTGGCCTGTAAATGTAACTGAATTTAGTGACAAAATGGAGATTCATACGAAATAGCTAGAACTTTGGTGGGAGGGAATAAATCAGGAGGCATGTCCTCTAGGGATCTAGCCTGCAAATTCACCAATTGATGCACAGTAAGTCAAACAACAAATATAGTAACTCAATTATGAACAAAAACATAAAGGTGGCATACAATGACATCTGCGCTCAGAAAAGGGTCGTTAACGACGACTAGTTCCATGTTCTTGCTGCGCAAAATAAGCCTGGCCACAAGTCTCCCGATCCGCCCCAAACCATTGATCCCAATCCTCGGTTTGGTTGCTTTACCAGGTCGGGGTCCGAGCTTAAGTCCGCCACGCTTTGATTTCTGCAAAGACGCGCAAATGAATTCGGCAGCAGTAAGACGAGAAGAAGATGGTGAAATAAGAGACTAGCAGATAACTACCTTGACTTCGTAGAACTGAGGTGGGTGAGCCTTCTTTCTGAACTCCAACGTTTCATACTCGCCCTTTGTAAGCCAGTCCCTGTCCATGTACTCAAAATTCCTATGCTGCTCGTCAAAAACAGTTTCCGCCACGTTCTTGATGACCTTGTTGAGCTCTGCCACAGGTATAATATCCTCCTCATCACGGCTTCGCTTCCTGGGCCCGACTTCACTATCCTGGTACATCGTCTTGGCAAACGGATCCCCCTTGACGTACACCGGGCTCGTGTCCACAGGTGCATCTTTGTCGGGAAGCTGTGCCTGCAGCGAAGGCGCCACAGGGCAGCTCAGGAGCGCTGGGAACACCGTGTCAGCTGGGCACACGGCATAGGGGTCCAGCACATGCCCAAATGCTGATGCACACCAATTCCAGCAGTGAGTCGGTTAACCATAATGCAAGAATAAAACAATATTATTTTCTGACTGGTTACAACAGCAATCGAGGAGACAATTTATCCCCTGATTTAAGAAGACAGCATGCCTTTATAACAAAGTA